TAATATCTCTGGGCAAATGCTTCTTCTAATATTCACACTTTAAAGCTATTGAGGAAGTGGGTATAATTAAACAGATCTTTATGGAATGGTGCATACCACATCAGTAAATAACTTTGAAGGGCTTGACAAATTGTATATAATTCCCTTATACTAACTGGGAACTAATTGAGACCTCCTCTACTGGGAAATTATTGGTTTATCCAGTATTATGTGAACCAGATTTGGAGAACTCCTTAGCTTGTCCGTTTTGTGGGAACAGCAGTGGCCATTTTCATGCCATGCATATTAAAATAGATTCTTTAGACATTAACAAAAGCAGTTTTATTGCCTAGATGCTGGGTAGGAAGATTACATAATATTTGGTTTCCAGCATGGAAGAAAGGATAGACTTCTTCCCAAAGCTGCAACTTCTGCAAACAATTCCTCCTCCTCTACAACCTCCTTAATTAAACTTTATAATTAGCTTGAAAGCATAATTGTTCTGCATTTCCAAGCCCAAAGCTATTACTTCCTTGTATGGTACTAATATCAGGCACATATTTTTTCATTTTAGATTAAGTTTACCTGTTGCTTCAGGTGCGTCTCTTAAGAAATCAACAAAGAAAGCATCCTTGTTGAGTGCCACTAGTGATGCCTTATCACTACCAAGTTCTCCTTCAATTAGCTTTGCCATTGCCAGATCAAACCACTCCACGTCCTCGGGAGTTGTGAAACGATCAGCGATAACACGCTTACATTCATGCTTCCATAGCTTAATGAGCACCTGTTCAGAGAGAGAAAAGAAAAACAACTGTATATAGCTTCCCTAAGTTGGAATTTGCGACATTCAAAATAGATGCTTCTCATACATATTTATTTTTAAAAAGATGTTGCATGTGAAGGACTTATTTTGTTACTGAAAGAATGCTTCCCATATTTATTATTAAATATGGGAAATAACCTCAGCTACATTATTTAGGACAGTAATTATTTTCCACATTGATAAATGTTTTAAAAATATACATGATATAGGCACAAATGTTGCATCTAACCATCTGTTTGTATTTGCCTGTGTACGTGTATATTTTTTCAGCTAAGAGCTAGAGAAGGTAAAGAAGACAAGGGACTCCATAATCTCTTTTTAATTGGTTGCCATTTGTATGTTTATGTGATATATCCTAACTATCTGCTTTGGGATTGAGCAAAGGCAATTCAGAATTAAGTTAGAAATGATATCCATGGGTCACTAATGATCTAGCAAGTGTCTTTGTGCAGCATGTTATGCTTAGTCTTGTTGGTTAGTGAATTGTGCAAACTCTGCTCTCTTGGTTAGTTTATAATTCAATGTACTGTGTGAATCCATTAACTGGGATTACTTCCAGAGTCAATGTAAACAGATGAGAAGAGGGAACATGATCTTAGTGGTACAAAAATCCAACACCTTTCTTTAGTTTCAAATATCACTTACAGATTGCCTTTTGCAAAAAAAAATAATAATAAATGTTGACAGTGTGCTCCCTCACATTTCATTTTAGTTTTGTTGCTCTTTCCTGCTGTGGTTAACTATCACAAACACCTGTGTGGATATCTAAAAGCAGACATTTGCTCAAACCCCTCTCTACCACCAAATACAGTACAATTTCATTTGCTCTGTGCCTCTCTAGTCTGAAATAAGGAAATAACTTCCCTAAATAATGCTTAGCATACCTTCTATGGTGTAAAACAAGGGTCTTCAAACTTGGCCCTTTTATGACTTATGGACTTCAACTCCCAGAATTCCTCAGCCAGCATGCCTGGCTGAGGAATTCTGGGAGTTGAAGTCTACAAGTCATAAAAGGGCCAAGTTTGAAGACCCCTGGTGTAAAAGCTTTCTACTGGTAATCTTCAGTTAATGACAATTACTACTTGGATGAGGAATTGCTAGAAAAACCCAGACTAGGGTAGAAGTCAAATAACAGCAACAATTTTAGAAGCAGGAAATAGCAAATTATTCCCAAATGTTGCCCCAAAATGCTATAAAGTTACCAGAAATAAAGAGATTATACCTTTTTTAAAATGTAATTTAATCTGTGAGCTTAAAAAAGCCACACATTAATACAAGGACTAAGTAAATATGATATTAAATCAGCCTAGCTTGCCCTGTTTCCTTCCTGGAGAATAATATTTAACCTTTCTGTCAACTGCTTTTCCATAACTCATCTCCTCTTCACTTGGTTTCAATTCCATAAATATCTAGGCTTGGTCCAATAGTGATGGGATTCTAACTGATAGTCTGATTTTCTGGTATCCTGACTTTTCACCAAGAAAGATTGGCATCTTCAGAGGCAAAGTGTACTGCTCACAGGCAAGTGATCAGGAACTCAAGTTTTTATATTTGTAAGCAAACTAATCTTTAATTGGACCAAGTCACTAGAATTCTAGAAAGTCAGTTTCCAATTGGCTCTATCCAGGTGAATTTTTAATTGGTCTGATTTGAAGAATTTCCAATGAAGCCAATTTTTAATGGTCTGTCTTTGAAACATGCTATAGGCAGTCCTCAAATTATGTCAGCAATTGGGCCCAAAATTTCCATTATTAAGTGATGCCGTCCCAATTACCACCATTAACCAAATCCCATGGTTGTTAGGCAAGTATAGTCAGTGGGGCAGCCAGCAAGTTGCAGGTCTCTGTTTAGAGACAGGTAAGTGGTTGCTGCTAGGTGAGGGGGTGTGAGGGTGAGTCAGGAGGATGCCTCAGGGTGCACAAGACACACAATATATGTTGGGGAAGGTGGGTAAAGATGTGTGAGTTGGGAAGATGTGTGAGTTGGCAAATGCAGAGACTAGGGGAGGATGGATAGGTGGGAGAGACTTACCCAATAATTTGCAATTTCCTTGGCAGGCTTCCTGTTTCTGGAGAAGCCAGCACCAAAGGATGCAAATGGTCATCGTGTGACTGTAAGGTGCTACAACTGGTCATAAGTGTAAACTGATTGCCCATCTCCCAGATCACAATCACAAGACTGCAGGAGTGCTGGAAAGATCAGAACTCGGAGGATCGGTCACAAACACTATTTGTTCAGCACTGTTGTATCTTTGACTAATTATACTACTTATTCATTCAGGTAAGACTGCTGAAGTTTTTTTTATTCTTTATAATGTAGATTAATTAAGGCCTGTTCTATCTTGGTGTGTCATAGAACCAATCAGAAGCTGGCTTGTCTTGAATTCTAGTGACGTGTATGTAACTGCACTAATACATTTAGACTTAGTGCTTGCAATTAAAGTATAATATTATTTACTACTTATGGGGCTGTCTAAAATTCTGGACCTGTAGTTCCTATAGTACAATGTTTAAAATCTGAAATAAAAATGCATCCAATATAAAAAATCTGAATGAAAGACATCATCTAATATATGAAAATGACACATGCATTACTTACATTGGAATCACTGATTACTTCTGAAAGAGTATTAAGCATTCCTTGCCAGATCCTGGAAAGGTCCCGGAGATTGAACACATAATGGAATTTGGCCGGAGTTGGTAGCATTTTGATCTTGGTCATTTGCCACAACCGCCGGGTCAATGGGACCAGCTTAGCAACCGTTGCTCTCACTTCTTCCAAAAAGCCTCTTTGGCTACAATAATGCCCTGTGCCAATCACACCTGGAGGATTCAAGTTAGATATCTAAGAAATCCACCCACTTCCATGTCTTACCAATACCACTAAACGACGTCATCCAGTCACATTAAGATTTGTTAACTGAGAGCAGCATAGAAATAAATTTAATAAATTTAATAAATAAAAATATTAATTAATTAAAATGTCATTTTGTGATACCTAGCGAATGAATGCACTTGTTTAAAAATGCCTGAAAAAATCATTTGCCCAAAACACACAAGCCAATACTAAGGTTAGGCATGGCACAGAGGGATTTAAAAAAAACAACAACCCAACCACTGAACTTCCTATTACAATCTCCAACAATGTACATTGTTAAAAATAGAATATCTCAGGAAATTGATTTTAATATAAATTCCCCAAATCACTGATCTCCCATATACATTCGTTCCTTTAATTTAACTGAGCTAACCTTTTTTGTTCACCCTTTTTACAGTTATGTTTCTGTAGTTTGGTTTTTTCCTCCCTCTCTTTTGTTTTAGCACTCTTTTGAAAATAATGACAGACATTAGCAATGTAATACTAATGCTGCAATTTTAATGCATCTGCTCACACGGTGGAAGATCATATTTACACCTCCACTCAAATTTTTCACTTCTCTTAGCTTTTCAAAGTAAAGCAAGCACTAAGCGCTACCTAATGAGCAACAAGACTAAATAACCATTGTGTTTTACCAAAAATCTTGTCAATGGATGAGTTAGAAGGCAAGGTGCAATTAAACACAGAAAACTGTCTCTTCAGTCTCTGAGGGATGTCGTTTCGTCCACCACCAGGGTGTATCATGGCAGCCAAAAACTGGATATCCACAATGTTGGTGAACTCTCCAGGCTTCTCCAAATTATAAAACCCATTCTGCTCCATCAGCTGCCTAACAATCTCATTAGTGACCTGCAAGAAAGGTTTTGGGATTAAAAACACCCAACTGACTATTTTTGCAGACATCTACATTTATACAGCAGATTATATGCATAAAACAACAGAATGGTTTTTACTGCCTCTTCTTTCCACCATAACTTTTCTAATTGATAATACTATAATTTTCCCAGTGAGTTTTTTATCTCTATATCTGGGCCCAGCTGGACACATCTTTGTGTCTTCCATTCTTCAGAAGAACAAGCTGGTGTAACTGTACCCCAGTTCCAGCAGAGATATAACAGATGCAGCGCTTACTATTTCTAATCCTAATTCAAAAGGTTCTGACCAGAAATTGGAGGCAAGAACATTGAGTTCTCAAGAATACCAGCAACAGAAGGTAGCAAACCAGAGGCAGCAATAAAGAGAAGCCTATCCTTACCTGAAGAGGTTCTATGGTCTACTCACTAATTCCTTGGTCTTTGCCACAGTCATCAGCTCTGCTTTCACAAAGCCATTTTCAGTTTCACATAACTCTCCCAGAAGCGTCCCCTTTCCACTTGTTAAAAATTATGGAGGACCCCAAAAGAGCATTTGTTTGTATGGATTTATCATTTTTTACCCAATTAAAAATTAAAAATGATCTATTTGCTGCCACTACCACTTCTCATGATTGGTAGTGATTTTAATATTGCATTGTTTTTCAACATAGGCTGGAAAATAATTTTAATTTCACAGACCCCTGAGAAGTTCTTGGGAGAACCCCAGGGATCCTAGGACCATACGTTAAGAAACACTGCACTAGACAAAGTGTAAAACTTGATATGCAGTATTACATCATAAGCACAATCATAAGTGAATTTCCTGGTTTATGACCAACATCTACTCTGAAACCATTCATTCATTCATTCAATCAATCAATCATTCAGTCACTGGATTTGCATGCTGCCTAATCTATTCACACTCACAATGATTTACAACTATACAGTAAGTTAAAGCACTCATGGTGAACTATAGTAAATATAATTGATTAATTAATCCATTAAATCCATTACAAAATCTTATAATTAAACAACAATCCCACCATTCTGTATTTTGCATATACAAAAAGGTCTTCAACCACTATATGCCCTATGGAATAATGTGGTTTAGATTACCATCCTGAAGATTATTTGGGGGGTCAATTTGGAACAATCAAAAACTTTTCCTGAGATGAATATATTAGAGGAATCAAGGAAGTTAGGTTATAAAACACTTTTTTTCTATTTGGTTTTCACCGATTACAAAATACAATCTATTTTGACCATACGCTATATATCCAGTTGGGTTTTAAAAGGAATTCTGTTTAATGCAACCCTCACATCACTTGTACCATTCCTGGATGGCTCTACATCTTCATGAATACCTATTATTGCCCCCGTTAGGCAACACAGCCAAAAAATATTTGATGAGGAAGTCATGCCAATGAGAAATTGCATCCCTCAAATCCTCACTTTTATAGCAGGATCATTGACTGTCTCCATCTCCGTAGCTGGTAAATTGCTATAGTGCTACAATAGTTTCATATTAATCTTCTAAGATTGAGCAGAAAGGCAATTTTGATGCTTACCCTCACATGTTTATTTCATTTCAAACTGCCACATAAAACTTCAAAATGAAGAAAGGATAGAATTAGAGCAGGGCACTGGCTGGGTATCAATTTTTGCCCTCCATTATTGGTTAGATAGAACAGAGTTCCCAAACCTATAGGCTGCAGCCCACTACCGGGCCGCATGAGTGGCTGGCCAGTGTACACGTGCATGTGCACGCACTCACCCCTTCTCCTTGCGCTGGTGCTAGGAGAGCTGCGAGCCTCTCGCCAGCGCTAGGAGAGCCGCGAGCCTCTCACCGGTGCTAGCAGCCACGTTTGTATGTGTGCGCATGCACGCATAAAGGTGCTGTCCCTCCCTTTCCCACCGGGCCACCAACCCAGAAAGGTTGGAGACCCCTGAGATAGAGGCAGTACTGGTTTAGTTATAAAAAGTTGCAGGCATAAGAAGTTAGGTCAAGCACGAATCTTTCTGAAATTATTCTGAGGGTTCGCAACTGAAGGATAGGTATAGACCACGGGTATCAAACTCGCCACGTCATGTGACGTGTCGCGACATATAGCGACTCTTTTTGCGGGCCGGTAGTTTGACACCACTGGTGTAGACGTACTGAATAACTATGCCTATAAAAGCCCAGGAGTAGTATTCTATTATCATAAAGGTAGAAACACAAGTCCCAGTGAGAAACATTGTGATTCCTCTTAAGCCTTAGCAAACTACCAAAATTAACGTGAGAGGTTTGTCATTCAGAAAAATTAGAAATTATTCTCTGCTGATATATAAGGAACTCATGCATTGTTGAACTGTTCTCCAATATTAACAAATCCAAGCAAAACAGTCAAAATCTTGATCTTAACTATTTCTCCAAGTCAAAATGTTTCATTGAGCGATGTCAAGAACTGATGATGCAAGTATCTGACCTGATCTCCCCATTCATTAATTACAGGCATATTCACATCATCTATGAAGACCGTCATTTTCTTTCCTGCGGGAGGACCATATGTTGTGCCCATGCGCTTGTCCACATAGCTTTCTATTGTGCGCTGCAAGAGACACATGAATTTATAAAATAATTTAACTATAAGCATCTTTTTTATAATCACTAAAGGAAAAGTTGTGTGTTCTGCAAACTCTTTGCTTAGAACAAAAGAACTTAAAGCAACTGTAGGAAGAAATGTAATATACAGTTAAAAATCTTTAGTCAGAAAGTCCTCAATACTGAGATTCCAACAAACAGTAAAATATTCCTGGCCAATCTGGATATTAAAAGATATCTCTGCTTCAAAGGGTTGAACAGAATAATCCCATATTCCAAAGATGAAGGGAATGAGGAGAAAGAAATTCTGCCATTACCTGCTCTGAAAGACGAAAAGAAGCCACAACACAAAATCTCTTCTGCCAGAAAAGGTTATAGTGCTAAATGATTCTCAAGTGGCACACAAACATCAAGGGATACTAACTTATACTACATATTGCACTCTTCTGGTGATTTTGGCAAAGTGCTTATTAGTGTCAGGACATTTACTTAGAAAATAAATCATCCCATGTAAGTCAATATGAAAAACATCTTGCAAAGGTCTATGCTATTCTATTCCAGGCATGATAGTGTTAACGTACCTATTCTGTCATTGCCTGAATGTTCAGCCAACATATCTAAGGCAGAATTAATGGAATTAAAATATAGAGCTGCACTCTAAGGCTGCAATCTAAAACTATTTGGGGGATATCTGTTCCAATTCAACTGAATTCATTTTACAATCAACATACAGGTAGTCCTCGGCTTACAACAGTTCATTTAGTGACCATTCAAAGTTACAACAGCACTGAAAAAAGTGACTTATAATCATTTTTCACACTTACGACCTTTGTAGCATCCCCATGATCATATGATCAAAATTCAGATGCTTGGCAACTGTTTCATACTTATGACCGTTGCTGTGTCCCAAGGTCATGTGATCACCTATTGCGATCTTTTGACAAGCAAAATCAATGGGAAAGTCAGATTCACTTAACAACTGTGTTACTAGCTTATCAACTGCAGTGATTCACTGAGCAGCTGTGGCAAGAGAAGTCGTAAAAGGGGGCAAAACTCACTTAACAAATGTCTCAGTTAACAACAGAAATTTGGGGCTCAACTCTGGTCGTAGGTCGAGGACTACCTGTACGTATAATTGTATTGCATGTGTATTTTTGGAGACAAAAGCATAAATAAAAGTATAATTTTTGGAAATATTGGATGGATTTGGCCAAGATATGATTTCTGAAAGACTTCTATCTATTTTGAATATATTTTACATAATGCCCTTCCTTATTTATTGTGCATATGATTTAAGGAGAGGGACAAGATTTTATTTTTGTTAAATGTGACAAGAAAGCTATAAGTTATCTGAGAGAATGAAAACCCTGTACAAGGTTCAAAATATAGAAATTAGATGAAATTTAATATATGAACAAGAAAGGAACAGTTTCTCCCCAAAATGACTAATTTATTATCAAAGTCAAAAGAACCACTGCAAATAGCAAACCGTGAACATTTGAATCTTTACCACTTATTCAAATATTTTTGATTAATTTTTATTCTGGTATATTTCCGATGAGTTACAAAGTTACCTCTATTTCTGTAGGAAAGGGGGAAAAAAATAAATGCTAAGTTTCACCTGAAACATGAAAGGAGTGGTTGCTGATGAAAAGTTAAGGCTCTTAGCCATGTGATTTTCAGGATTATATTTTGACATGTATCCTTTGATGATGACAGTCTTAGCAGTCCCTTGCTCACCAATTAGCAGAACAGCCTGAAGATGAAAAGAGAATTCAAATGAGTTTAGGGATATGAGAGTCAAAGGTAAGTGATAAAGGCTCAGATCTCAAAACGGTTTCAAATAATGAAGAAATAGATCACTCTTTGCAATACGGTTTATCCATAACCAAAATAAAATTAGTTCTACCAACAATATTAATATTGTAACACAAAAATAGGTTTTGTGACTTTAATAAACAAACCATTTGTTACTTTCTTCATGTGGAAAATGAAGGATAGAATAAAACCCTTTCAATCTTGAAGTAAAACAAGACCATCAGGATAATTAAAGACCCAAAACAAATAATGCAACATCCCGAAAGTTAAAAGATGGATTAGAGTGAGCTTCAAAATGGGCAAATAGAATAATTCAGAAAAGTTGCATTGAATGGGAACATTCAAATTGCTAGTGAGCATCAAAGATTTCTTTGTGGCTGTAGACATTTGATCCTTACCCAGTTCATAAGGATAATTAACAGTCTAGTAGCAATTCCAGAAGCATTTTAAAATGAAGTCACTGTCTCACTAAAGCACTGCTAGCATCTCAATAGGAAACAGGAGAGTATTACCTTGCCTTGTTTTGCAATTGTTTGAATAAGGAAATCAGTTCTCACGTTGTCAACATTTGGAACCAAAATAGAGCCATATTCTGGAGTACTGTTAGTAGGATACACATATTTTTCAACACATGTATTCCAGTGCATCCAATTACCTAGCCAAAAGAAAAAATAATTCTAGAAATTTGATAGCAATCTATCTGAACTTTTAAGTTAAAGTAAGGGTCTTATTGTGATTTTATGTCTATTAGTTGTTCAGAATAAAATGGAAATGCAACCAAGTTAAAGCACCATCTTCGTCCATAATAAACCCTACCAAAATAATTATATAAAATATAAATAGAATTTTCTCCAACATGTCTGCTATTTATTTAATTAATGTATTGTGTCTATATTTAATTAGCACGTAAGAAGACATTCAGGAATTAGCTTGATAGAACTTTTGAACATTTTCCTCATTTAAATCAATACAAGCATAGAAGAAAAACCTAGTGCCAGTTTAGTTAATTTTAAAAATAGCCAATGTAAAGCCATTCAGAGGCAAAGAAAGGTTGGCAGAGTTCCCATATTTCAGATTTTTAAAAAGGCACCTTGAATAACCGATTGTTTATATCACGTAGAACATGTTGCACAATGCACTCATTTGCTTCCTCTGCCAAAATGAAAAATGAAAAAAGCAACATTTAATGAGCATTGCTTATTAAATCTGGTCTACCCTATCGTAACTGATTGCAGTTGCAGCAGATTTTAAAATTACAAATCTCTGTCATTTAGAAACCACGTCTTTGCCACTTAAGCTTGTATTTAAATAATTTCTTTCTCTTTCTCTCTCATGTAAAACAAATCAAAACAGCAGTCCTT